GAATTAATTATGAAGTTAAAATATATAAACTATTAAATAAAAATATTAGAACTATGCTACATACTAACATACATATATTATTAGGGCAACGGCAAGAGCGGTTTACTACAAGCAAAATGGAAGCCGGGTGGTGGCACATACCCATAACCAGCCAGAGCCACGGGCTACACGGCTCAAGGTCAGCATGAACTATATCATGAGACCCTGTCTCAAAACATGAACAGAAAATTGAACATTAAAAAATAAAACAAATATCACAAAAGTAATGCTGAATGTAAACCAGACTTTTTTTTTTTTTGGGGGGGGGGTCTTTTTGAGACAGGGTCTCCCTGTGCAGCTCAGGCTGGCCTTGGCCTCACTTCATAGCCCAGGCTGGTCTCAAACTCACAAAGATCCTCCTGCCTCAGCCTCCCAGAGTGCTGGGATTACCCGCGTACAAAACCACGCCCCGCTCTAAAGAATACAAGTTGCAGGATTCCTTTTACATAAAGTGCAAAAACAGCAGCGGGAAGATGGCTCAGTAGGATAAGCACCTGAATGGCAAACGTAAGGATCTGAGTTCAATCCTCGGCTCCACCAAAAAAAAAGTACAAAAACAGATGAGGCAACACGACTGCCATGAGTTCAAGGCCAGCCTGGAATGTAGCACAACCCTGACTCAAAAATGTCTGTATGTTTTACATAAAGTACAGAAACATAAACACTTCTCTCTGCTGTTACAGTCCATTAGAGGTCAGGCCAAGGCAGGGGGGGACTAGCGAGTGGAATGCAGCCCATGGAAGCCGGCTGCAGGCTAGTAGCAGTTTGTTTCTCAGACGCTGTATAACTCAGTGAGCTGAAGATGCAGCTCCATGTGCACTCCTTACTTCCCTTGCAGCACTGGGACTGAACCCGCGGCCTTGCTCGTGCTACACAAGCACTCTACTACTGAGCTACATCTCCAGACCTTTCTAATTTCGAGACAGTTCTGTTAAGCTGTCTAGACTAGCACCCAGCCTGCAATCCCCCTGCCTACCTCCCGAGTAGCACGGATTGCACATATGGCTTGATGTGGATGTGTACTCTTGTGTAAGTTTACGAATCAATAAAAATGTACGTACATGACAAAATTTATGTTTTCAGAGAAAAAGGCACGAGAGAGAGGGAAGATAAATCAGAATGAGTACAAAGCAAGATTAGAGACAGTGGTAAAGGTACATGGAAGGGATGCCTTAGAACTAGCTAAGGAAATGATGGCATCCTGCCGACCCCATCCCCACACCAAGTACTGGCAACTGAACCCAGGGCCTCTGCACTGAGCTAGATCTCCAGCTCTTTTTTAAACATTTATTTTCAGACAGGGTCTAAGTTGCTAAATTGCCCAGGCTGGTCTTAACTCTATGATCCTTCTGTCTCAGCCTTCCAAGAGTCTGAGGAATTATAAGCATGCACCACCATGCTCAGCTAACTGGTGAGGTTATCTGTAACAGCCTGCTGAAGAGATTGCTACTACTAGAAAAGAATTTTCCTGGAAAATGAAACAGCAAGGTAAAAGCCCTTAGGCAAGAGAGCTCTGTACAGTGTCTAAGGGGGACAATGTGGTCATCACCCATGGGCAACCAGAAGGCAGAGCACACAGGTCATTCAGGAGCTATTATGACACACGAGAACTTTTTTTTTTTTTTTTTTGCTCCGAATGCCTTCAGGGCAGGTTTGGCTGGCTTGAGTTGTGGGGATTGAACCACAGCAACCTGAGCCTGACTGCTTTGCTGAAGCAGCCACTTAAAGAACTAAGGGGCAGGCCCCCCACACAAGAACTTTTGTACTGGAAGCCACTGGACAGTTTTGAGCATAAGAATGGAAGAATGAGCCTTAAATTTTTATCAATCACTTGTGCTACAATATTGACACCATTTGAGACAAGGACAAAAAAAAAATTATACTGGAAACCAATGTAGGGATCCAAAACAGAAAAGTGATCAGATTCTGATATTTATCTGTCATTTATCTGAACAGGGAAGGCTACAGGAAAAACAATTTATGATAGTTATTATTTTGGCATGAAGGAAAAGCAACAGCTTCTTTCTGGATATACTAATGTCCAAGTTATGCATGAACTACAAAAATAGGAAGGCCCAAGAGGAAGCGGGATATACATATATACTGCCTGTCCACTACAGGACGGCAAGCTCATTCATTCCAAGAGGGAGAAGCAGTGAGGCAAGAGGTAAGCTGGGCACGTCAGCGACCTGAGTTACCAGCTGGGCACTTCTGCTCTGCATCGAGTAGCTCCTTCCGACGGGGACTGCCCTGACTTTGCAGGGAGTGGGCCAGCATCGCGGCTTCTGCCTGAGTTGATGGAGCCAGTGTAGTAGATCTAGTATTAAGGCATGGCAGTTCTTCTGATTGTGTCTGTTCTCCATAAAATAAAAAGCCAAGGCTGTCCGTTGAACTAAATATGTTGTTGGAGATGAACTAGAAATACTGTAGGATTTAGCAGGCAGCTAGAGCACACGAGGTAAATGGTCATGAATGTAAAGTACGATCAGTCAGCTTAAGTGTACCTTCTCCCAATCCTGCTGAAGTGCTTAGAGACAGATACAGAACTGAGTAGGACAAACAGGGACTATTACAATGAAGCACAGAATCCAAGTTGACGGGCCGGCCAAACAGCTCAGCAGATTAAAGCGCCTGCAAGCAGGCACAGAGGCCAGGGGTTGGAGCCCCAGGCCCCTGAGACGCACTGAGATGGCAACTGAGCCTGGGCGTGGTGGCGCGCGCCTGTAATCCCAGCTCCTGGGACTGGGAAGCTGTAAACAGGCAGATCAGTACGAGTCTGATCTAGCAGTGAAACCCTGAACACCCTGCAGATGCTTCCCTAAAATACACACACACAAAAAGAATCCAAGCCCTGGGCGTATACAGGGCTTTTTAGTGTAATGGAAAAGTTAAGTAAGGCTTGGTTCCTCTTTTAATACTTCACATACACTTAGATTTGTACACTGCTGATGTGGCCCAGTCACGTTCAAATAGTAGCAGAAAATGTTCACGGACCACTGAATACCTCTCTTTTGTTTTCAGGTAAGATTCACCCTAAAGTGACACACTAGTAAAATCCAAAGGAAGGGGCCGGGGAGATGGCTCAGTGGAATAAGCACTTCTCTGGCAAGCATAAGGGCCTGAGTTCAATCCCCGGTTCCACAAAAAAAAAAAAAAAAAAAAAAAAAATCCAAAGGAAAAGACATTTCAGGAAGAGTAGTGAACAGTACTGAGAAACTGTGCCATCAAGCCCAGTTTACATCAAGCCCTATTTTGTTTTGAGAAAGGCCTCTGCTGTATGCAATGATCCTAAACTCGTAGCCCAGGCTGGCTCCCAACCTGTGGTAATCCTTCTGCCTTAGCTTCCTGAGTGCTAGGATTACAAATGTGCACCAGCATGCCCGGCAAAGACTTCTAACATTTAAAATATTATGGCAAGTGCACTCAATCCCCAGGATTGAGTATTAAAAAAATAATAAAATGCAAAGTTATTTTCCTAAATTTATGTTTAATGACTTTCAATAATTAGTTATCCTAATACATGTTTTTATTAAGAAAAGAGAAGGAAGCACATTTTAAAAAATGTTTTGACAATATAGAAGGCTGGACAGGAAAAGCACAGCATTATCTGATTATAATGATGCAAAGAAACACTTTCTGGGCCAGGGAGATAGCTCAGTAGTGCAAGGTCCTGAGTTCAATCCTTGGTTCCGCAAAAAACAGAAAGAAAGAAAGAAAGAAAGAAAGAAAGAAAGAAAGAAAGAAAGAAAGAAAGAAAGAAAGAAAGAAGAAAAGAAAACAAAAGAAAAGAAAAGAAAAGAAAAGAAAAGAGAAAAGAAAAGAAAAGAAAAGAAAAGAGAAACACTTTCCTAAGCAAACAGAGGTGTGGTGGTGTACCCCTGCAGCCCGGCACTTCAGAGGCTCAGGCAGGATGATCTGTCAGACTTCAAGCCCAGACTGGGCCACACAGTGAGTTCAAGGACACTCTGAACTACAGAGCAAGACCCTGTTTCAACACACACACACACACACACACACACACACACACACACACACAGACACACACTAAAGAGGAGAGCAGAAGAGAAAGTCAGAAAGAAAACTCTCTTAAGACCTACCTACGACTATACCCACAGAGTCTGTACACAAATTATCCGAGGACACAGGAGAAAACGAACACAAAAATCCCGCATTAACTAGCTCAGGGATTACCGACTTTAGCACTGATTATTTTGATCAAACACGGGTTGTTGCAGGGGTTGCCTTAAGTGTGTAGGAAGTCTACCAGCACCCCAGGCCTCCCATCTTCCTCTTCCCTCACTGTGACAAAAAAATGATGCAAAATACTGGCAAACAGGCTCTCAGTGGCACCGCTGCTGCTGCTGAGTTAGAACGCACCTCCGGCCTAGGTACCTAAAGACACAGGCCTGTACGACCTGACTATTTCACTCTGTGTGACATCAGCTTTCCTACTTCCCGAGGAAGCCAAGGAAATAACTCAAACATCAGGAGCTCACCAAACTTTTTTTCCTTTTTTTGTCATTTTAACATAGGGGTTCGCTATGCAGACCAGGCTGGCCTCAAACTTGCAACAATCCTCCTGCCTCAGCCTCCTGAAGAATTACAGGTACGCACTACTACGCCTGGCTCAACCAATTTTCTTAAAGGAGAAAGTTATTTGTAGGAAGCATGTAAACTTGGCAAAGATAAAAAGCTCCCATCTGGACTGGAAACGCTCCCTGGACAGACCGCTGAGCAGCGCAGGCTCGGAAGCCCCTTACTGTACACAGCGTAGGGCAGCTGCCGCACAGCAGTAATCACTGATCCAGGCCTGAAGTCCACGCAAGTGACTCACAGGCACTATTACAAATTTTTTCCCTAACAACACATTCTCCACGGATATGTAAGGCAAAAGTCTCCGCTCCAGGGCTCCTGGGACTGTCTTCTCTGCCAGGAGCCTCACCTCTCCAGCGAATGCTTACCGGTAAGGGATTGGGTAGGGAATGTTGCGGTGAGAGTCGTGCAACTGGTGGAACACTTCTGCCAGGGCTGGCTCCTGGCCCGCTTCCCCCAGCAAACTGGCCAACAGGGAGAAACGGACATGAATGATTCACACGGTACTATGCTTCAGATAAGGAGAGTAAAAGGTTAATACACAAACAGGTCTTACTTATACATGGCCCTTTTAAGTTAATATGTCTCAGTCTAGACAGACATTGCCATATAAGTCAAATTCTGTACTTTTCAACAAGATTTTCAGGAAGGAGCACCCACAGAAACATATCGAGATATACAGAAAACATGGCTGGGAAACTGAGAGTACACATGGTTTTGGAAGGACGTCAGAGAAGAATGCTTTTCCTTCTTGTCTCAAAATACACAGGCAGAGATGCAGTGGTGTGGTGGATTTAGTCTCCTTTAGTTCCCACTAAGGACGGTCACTGGTTGAGATTACTACATGTGCCACAGGACCAAAGGAAGAGGACAGAAGAACGAGGCCAGGTCACTCCACCTTAATCTCTGAGAAACACAACCTAGTCTGGCCGAAAGATAAATCACCTCGTAGATAAATTCTTGTATCATCACAGACAAAACACGTAATCAACAAATTTAAATTTGGCAAGTGAGCAGCGGTTGCCTCTGACTGAGAGCCAGGGAGCACTGGGCTGGTGAAGACAGGGAATAAGGGAGAAGCCACAGCAAAGGCCAAACAGTGCTTCCTAATGCCTTAAATGAACACAAGGATTCAGGATTTTAAAAACATCAGTTTTCCCCCAAAATTTAACTTACCTCAAAGTAATCACTAATTTTATGTCCCCTAGGAGTGCCTTTCCCTGAAAATGAAACCAAAATAAGTACAGTTTCTCCAGCGCATACATAAGCCACCATTCAACAAAATGCATTCTGTATTTAATAACTACATACACTGCTATCAACAAGCTTTAGCTTTTACTTCTAATAAAAAGCCAAAATACCTACACCCCAAAGACTATTCTCCCCACACAGTGCATGATTGAACCAGTGAAAGGGAGAACTTTTTACAGTTTGGTTTCATCTAAGATCCAATAGTGTTTCTCTTACAAATATTCATCAATTTGTGTCACAACTGGGAAACAAAAATCAAATCTCATCTACAACCCATATCTCAATTTAAAAGAATGAAAGTTTAAAACTAACTCATGAGAATGAAACAGTTGACACTATTTTACACAAATAGTTAATTCTATTTCACACAAAACTCGCTAGGACCACATCCCTCTGGGACAATATTCCTTCCAAAAGAAATATTATCTATACATACTTATCTATACATATTTTTTTTTAAATGTATTTGGTACAGGGCCTCACTACGCAGCTTGGACTCATAGTGATCCTTCTGTTTTCAGCCTCCCTAGCACTGGGATTCCAGGCATGCGTCACCATGCCCAGTCTTGTTGGCTGGCTCAGTGTGCCCAGGGGCAGGGCTGGCAAGTCATGTGGTGCCCGAGATCGAACCTGGGTCCCTGAGCTTGCCTAAGCAGGCACTTAGTCCACTGAGCTATCTCACTGGTCCTATTAGCTATAGATTTTAAAAGCTGAGAATAATGCAAAAAGGCTGAGATTTCCATTCCATAGAATGTAAGAGGAAACCAACATGAAACTACTATTCTTTCTTTGAACATGATAATACTTTGCATTATTACACCACCTTTACAAACTTATTCCAATGTCCAGCTAACTAACTGCCATGGAGAGTCAGTGCGTATAAAGGGTAACAGGAACCCTTCTGGCTAGCACTACTAACTCAGCGCCGATGTGATACAGCGCGCACAGACAAAGCCCTCGCCTCCCCGCTCTTGTGCACTGTGCCACCTCACCTCTGAAGAACACCCTGTGGCGCCCCAGCCCCCTGCCCTGTCAGCTATCCACCAAGGGGCAAGTCTGTAATGACAGCTCTGGCTCCCCTAAGATATACAACCTTCTCTGCCAGGACTCTGTACACAAACCAATTATTTACCATAAGTCTGAAAATTCTAAGTACCTAAGAATTCAGTATTTTTATGGGGTGTGAAATTATTATACCTTGGCTAGTTTCATATGGCTCAGCTTTTCTTTTCCGATTTCGCTGGTCATTCTGCTTTTTCTCAGGCGTCTGTTAAACACGACACTACAATTAGCACTTTGGCAAACTTTACACATTTGTAAAAACAGTAGGCAAAGAGAATTAAATATTTAAAAGCAATGTAACTGGCAGACAATCCTCTATCAGGGTCTTGCTCTAAAAAATGAGAGGAAAATAGGTACAAAACCCGATAAGCAATTTTTGGCTAACTGCTCAAATTGTCATAGCTTTAATTTATTCATGTATAAATCAAGAGTTGCTACAACTTAAATAAGGTCTTTTACCAAACACAAAGATGGGACGAAGGTCCCACACAGCAGCTTCTCAGACAATTTTAAAAGTGTTTAAACTCAATTCCTTCTTCAAAAAAAAAAGTAAAGATCTACAAAATCAGCTGACTAATAAAGTTTTCCTAATACACAGTGGGTGGTTACAAAATTACACACAGCCCTGCATCTAGGTCGTTTGCCTGAGTTTTTTTTGTTTTTTTGTTTTTTGTTTTTTTTTATCTAATTGTCCATTTAAGCAGGAAAAATTAAAAACAAGCAAAAGCCTTCAAATTCCATTCCTCAAGTCAGCCACTTCCCACTGCTAGAAGGTTTACAATTATGAAATTCTAGCGTATCTAAGTTATTCATCTACTCCTAAAAATACCTATAGCTACTCATGGCAGCTACCCAAAAACTTCAAAAAACAAGGTCTATCCATGCCATACTAAGAGAGACCCATTAGGGCCATGTCATAGCTATACAATCACAAACAGCACACAATGGGGACCCCTACACACAGACTGTAACAAACCTGACCAAAAGTTTACACTAGATGTAGTTTCTTACCTCTACTTCTTTATCACTCAAGGATCCCACACTGCACAAACTCTGATTGGAAGACTCACTATTGAGCGGCCCCTAGAAAGAAAAAATTTAGAAAGAAAAGAAATTTTAATTTAGAATGGCAGCAAAATGGAAGGTGACAACTACTGAGTTTGGTGTTTACATGTTGAAGAGGTCAGAGAGGCCATGATTAACTAACACCTCCAAACCAATCTGCACTCAGCTACAGTCCTGTGCCCTCTACGGAAAAAACCTCTTAAGTTACTATTACTTTCACTTCCTGTATGCACTCTGTACTCATTGTAAGACTTTCCATTGCAAGGAACTTTCACATGCTCTGAAACCATTCTTTAGGAAAAATAAGCCTGGGAAATCCATTTCCCAGGCCTTGGTCTCACAAAGCAGTATGCTAAAAGCTGGCGTACCAGGGAGTATGCCAGAGGTCCTGTGTGAGGGAGGGGTGGTCGGGGACTATAATAAAGAAATGCTTTTCTAAGTCATGCCTTACAGAAGCATGAATGCTCGCTCAAAAACATAATGTTCCACAAGAGCCAACTGACTATTAACAGCATGAGTTCCACTACCCTCCTCTCGAGTAAAAATGGTGAAAATGCCAGAGACCGACATTGAGAACCTCTGGAAATGGTCTGAGGGGCAAACAGAAAATCAAGAAACACCTGTTCAACAGAGTCCAGGAAAATTCATTCAGCAGGATAAAAATGTCTGTGCTGTTTGAACCGAGACTACCACCCCAGCCCCGCCACCTCAGCCTGGCCCCAGACAGTTGCAAGCAGAAACAGAAGGCTCCCTCTCCCCACGCCCCACGCCCAGGACGTCAGCACTTCTCAGCCTGCCCCCAGACCCGTCCCTCTTCTGCCCAACCCCTACACGTGGGACGGAAGCTCTACTCTAGTTTTAGCCCACACACAGCATCTTGGGCCGCTTTCACTCCTATCAGAGCAGTCCCCTGTAAACAGGAGGGAGGTGAGAGGGCCCCACATGGCCCCATGCGCTGCCCACTACTCAGGCCCCAGAGTTAAGGTATCCCCCACAGAAAGCTAGCCACTGCCCTTAGCCGATCTTATATATGAGCCAAAGGGAAGAAGCGGGGATGCATAACAACCACAGTACTTGACTTCACTAGTTCCCAACAACAAAAAAATCATGCAGTAGAGGGGAGAAAAGAAAGTATGATATAGAAATAAAAAAGGAAAACAATCTAGGTAAGACATTGCCTGATGACCAGATATGGCATTTAACGGAAAAAAATTCAAAAAAGCCATTATAAATACTAAAAATCATGATTACAGAAATAAGGGAAGACACAGATGCACCTACCCAAGGCCCGGTGGCACAGTAATCCCCGCACTTGGGAGGACTGCTAGGAGTCTGAGGCCGCCCTGGGCTACACAGTGAGCTCAAGGGCAGGCTAACCTACCATTAAGACTCTGTCTCAAACAATCAAACCAGTAACAAATTCAAGGCCACCTCACACAACTCAGTGAGATCTCATCTCAAAATAAAAATTAAAAAGGGATGAGGGTATAGTTCAGTGGTTAAGCACTCCTGGGTTTGATCCCATTATTGTTATTTAAAAAAAAAAAAAAAACCAACTCCAAGGCAGGTGTGGTAGCACACATCTGTAAACTTAGCACTAGAGAGGCTGAGGCAGGAGAAACACCATGAGTGTGAGGCCAGCCCGGACTACACAATGAGCTCAACAGCAGCCTAGATTATCTAGCAAGACCCTGTCTCAAAAACAAAAAACAAAATCAAGGAAACTCCTGAGCTGAAAGTAACAAAAATGCAAAAGGAAGGAAGGAAGGAAAAA